AGGCCGGGCCGGGGGAGGGGCAGGAAAGAGGGCTATAAGGGCCGCTGCCAGGCGGGCTGGAGCCAGGCAGGCCATGGCGGATGTCCTCGGGCTGCAGAGACCGGTTCCCAACGGCGGCCCGGAGCCCCGGGACCCGCTGGACTGCTGGGCCTGTGCTGTGCTGGTCACCGCCCAGAACCTGCTGGTGGCCGCCTTCAATCTCCTCTTGCTGGCGCTGGTGCTGGGGACCATCCTGCTGCCTGCGGTCACCATGCTAAGCTTTGGCTTCCTCTGCCACTCCCAGGTGAGCGGGCGCCCCAGGGTGTGCGTGTGAATACGGGTGCGGGGTTTATGGGCCACAACTTCTCGCCTGGGCTGTTCGGCTTGGGCCTGACACCTCGTCTACAGTTTCTGCGCTCCCAGGCACCCCCTTGCACCGCGCACCTGCGGGACCCAGGCTTCACGGCCCTGCTGGTCACCGGATTCCTGCTACTCGTGCCGCTGCTCGTCCTTGCTCTGGCCAGCTACCGCCGCCTCTGCCTGCGCCTCCATCTGGCCGACTGCCTCGTGCCCTACAGCCGAGCCCTTTATCGGCGCCGGCGCTCCCCGCAGCTGCGGCAAATCCGGGCCTCACCAGGGTCCCAGGCCGTTCCCACGTCAGGAAAGGTATGGGTTTGAGGACCCTCGAGTCAAGAACAACCCCGACGAATGCCCTCCTTTTCAATCCGCCCAAGGACTTGAAGCCTGGGGGTCTTCCGACCTACCCTGCCCCATCCCTGCCTAAGCCAGTCCTAGCATCCCCTTGGCAAACTGCAGCATCTGTGGACCCAATGTTGGTGAAAATTCGCCATTCCAGAAAACCCTTTCTTTTTACTACCCATGTCTGAATCCTGAGTATCTGGGCTGGTCCCTGCACACACTCTCCCCCCGCCCCCCATCTTGTGAATAGACAACTGAACCTCACTGGTGCCTCCTTTTCCGGCAGCTCCGCTAGTATTTACGGGCTGATGGGTGAGGTTGGAGGGGAAGGAGTGACCACACGTTAATAAAGAATTAATGAACTGAATGTGCTGCTTGGATCCTGTGAACAGAGGGGCGGTACAAATACTATCACTACTGCTATGTGCCCAGGAGAAGGAAACAACATGGGAGGGGGGTGTGGCTCAAGTGTGCAGACGGGAGCATCCTCCAGCCTCTTGGCCTTCCCTTATCGCATTAGCCTGTTCTTCCTGACCAGACCCAAGCTCTGTCCCTGACCCCAAAGTCACCTCCCCATCAATAGAGTGGAGAGGGCCTGGACTTTGTCGCTTGCCCTGCTCCCCTTGGGGACCCGAGCCCGTTCTCTGACCCCAGCTTAGAGGAACTCGGTGTTGCCAGGCCGGGAAGGGAAACAATGGACCTTCCGGAGCAGGATGACACCCCCTCCCGCCACAATTCTGGAGCAGCAGCGTGGGAGGGAAGATGGAGGGGTCCACCCTGGGACCTGTTGGTCCGAAGCTCAGCCTGTCCCCCATCCCCGCCCGCGAACCTGAGGGGACCTGTGGCACTCCTGGAAGTCTAGGTGGTGGAAGGAGGGCTGACAGTGCTTCTGACTTCAGATAAACCTCCCCTCTAGGGGTGGGAAGTGCGATCTCTGTCCAGGCATCCCAGCTACACACACACAGGCCACTTGGGTTACAAGTTTAATGAAGTCTAAAAGGCATGCGCGATCATGGTTAGAGATAGGGAGGCCCCGCCAGGCTCTCTCTTTGCACCTCAATAGAAACGATGTGGTGTCCGGGTACCATGGCCAAGCCCAACACACGGGGTTCCCCAGCAGAGAAGGAATCTGGAAAGAAGGGTCAAAACATCAGGGAGGCCAGCCAGCGTCGGTCCCGCCCCTTTTGAGCCACGACTTCTTGGCCTCCCAAAATAAGGGGTGCAGCCAGGCACTAAAGGGGAAATGCCTTGAGTGAGGCTCCACCGCATTCCCAGGCGGTGCATTCCCCGAGCACTGACCCGACGGCTTGAGGAACTCCTGCGCCGAGCCTAGGATAACATTGCAGTCGCGGTCGGTGCAGAGGAAGCAGCCGACCAGCGTCCGTCCATCCGTCATGCGAATGCGCATAGTCTTGTTGAGCAGCGCCTGCAGCTGCTGCCGGGCGCGCGCAGCCGGCGAGTCCTCGCGCTCCCCGTCTGAGTCCTGCGCGGGGCAGTACACGCGCTCAGACCGCGCCGCCGAGGCTGCTGCCCGCCCACGGAATCACAGCTCCCGACAGCCCGCGGGGCGCTCACACGAATCCTAGAGGCTGCCGGGAGCTGCAGTCCCCCCACCATCCCCCCCATCTTGCTCCCCGACTGCCCCTCAATCTCGGAACCCAAGCCCGCGCTAACCCCAGCGCTGGAGCTGCTTTGACGCCGGCTGCAACAGCCATTCTCCTCTCGTAGTAGCATGGTCGGCCCAGCTCCCGCCATTTCTTCCGGGGCCGCCTCCAGGCCCTTCAACTCCCTAAGAACCTTTCGGGTCCGGTGGTCTGAGATCTCGCGAGCTCTCCCGGCAGCTTTTCTTTCGCGAGATCACCTCTCCTCCTCCTCCTCTTCTCTTCGGCAACTGCAGAGATCTCGCGAGCTTCTACTTTCCAGCGCTGTGGCTCACTGAGTTCTATTATGCCGGATGTAATAAGATATCGCGAGAAACTTTACCTCTAATTTTTTTTACATATTCTTTAAGAACCCTGGAATTTAGCAAGAATATATTTTTTCAGAATCGCACAACTCTCCCTTGTTTTTCTGCCTCGCGAGAAAAGTCTGTCCTAAATATCCCCTGTAGCCCAGGCCACTCTGAATTCTCCCCGGAGCTCCTGAGGACGTAACTCAATTATTTGAAAGCGGGAAGCAAACTACGTTTCCCATGGATCGACGCCACTCTTCGCCCACCCAGCGTTTGACCTCTAGACGGTGGCTGAAAAGGGACAATGGTTTCCATGTCAGCGGGTAAACGCTCTGGTCTTAGCTCCAGGATGAGGGAGGATGTAGCAATGAGCGTGTGCTGAGGGGCGAGGAAGAAACTTAAAGGAGCCGGCGACCAATAGAGCAAGAGCCATGCCGCGCCGGGGCCTAGTTGCCGGGCCAGACTTTGAGAATTTCCGGCGTCGGTATTTCACGCCGGTTGAGGTGGCCCAACATAACCAACCGGACGACCTCTGGGTGTCTTACCTGGGATCCGTATACGACCTAACGCCGTTGGCACAAAAACACAAAGGTAAGGGCCACTCTCGGTCCGCTGCGGGGTGTTTGTGGGTGCCTGGTTCTCGGGCGGCTAGCATTGACGGCGGCTGTGCCTTCCCAGGAGACCTGCTGCTGAAACCCATCGTGGAAGTTGCGGGTCAGGACATCAGCCACTGGTTTGACCCAAAGACTAAAGACGTGAGTTCTGCCTGGTGTTGTGTGTGTGTGTGTGTGTGTGTGTGTGTGTGTGTGTGGCGGGGGGGAAGCACTGGAAAGTGAGGATGGGGAGGAAAAAGAGGGGCTAGCCAGAGCCCGAGATAGTGACTGCTCCCACCTCCCTCCCCCAAACCTGCTTTGAAGATCCGAATGTACATAGATCCGCTGACTGGTGCCCAGAGATACCGCACCCCCCGGGGCCGCTTTCTGCATGTCCCACCTCAGCTGCCTCGTTCCGACTGGGCCAATGATTTCGGGAAGCCCTGGTGGCAGGGGACGCGCTATGAAGTGGGTCTGCTGTCCGCCCAGACCCGGAACATCCGTATCATTAACACACTCACGTCGCAAGAGCACACACTGGAGGTGAGAACTGATGCCTGGGGGCAGGTTAGAGGGAATTGGGAACCCCAGCAAATCTCCAAGCAGATCTTCAGGCCATCAACTCTCCCAAACCGGTGAGAGCTGTATTTTCACCCCCTTTTAGGTGCAAGCCAGGAAAGCAGACCACCGGTCCCCAGTGGCTGGGTCACAGGGTGTAATAGACCCCTTTATAAGTTCAGGGCAGCAATTTATGTATCTTAGTGCTGGTGGTCCATGGAAACCTTACATGCTGTGTTTTGGACAGCAAATGCAATTGGACTCTTGATAGTCTATTGTGGGGATGAAATTACGGGGCAGTGACATGACTTTGACCTTTAGGGCCATCTATTAGAAGTGGCTGCCACACAGACAGGTAGGTCGTTAGTGCCATTCATTGCATGCTGGAGCTCCAACTTCATTTCTGGGGCTGTGGAGTGTCTGAAGCTATCTGCCAAGGGAGGCACTCTGATCCCAGCTCATTTTTTGGGCTCTTGGCCTTTGTTTGGAGTGTGTGTGTGTGTGTTTATGTGTGTTCCACCCAGAATTCTAGGAGTGGGGTGCTTTTGTGTTCTCCAGGTGGGGGCCCTAGAATCAATGTGGGAAATCCTACACCGCTATCTCCCCTATAATGCACATGCTGCCAGCTACACATGGAAATATGAAGGGAAGAACCTGAACATGGAACATACCCTGGAAGAGAATGGGATCCGGGATGAGGAGGAAGAATTTGATTATCTCAATATGGACGGTACACTCCACACACCTGCAATACTGCTCTACTTCAACGATGACCTCACAGAGCTATAGGAAAGGAGATATGTGCTTATGTAGACTCAAGACATATTTTGAATTTGGCTGTTTCTGTGCCCTGTAGGAAAAGAGATGGGGTTGGGGTGGGGGAGTGCCTGGACCGAGACCTCCATTCTACTCTGGGAATTGACCTGTGGTTCCCATGCCCTTATGAAAGATAAAGGCCCTATTTCACAGGTCCATTATAATTTACTCTGAGAAAATTAGGGAGAATGTTAGAAGTTTAATTTTTTAAAATGATACAAGAAGACAAAATATCTTGGACTAAGGAGATGTAGAAGAGGATAGAGTTCAGGTAGAACTTTTTTAAAATATATTTTTATTGATTTCAAAGAAGAAGGGAGAGGGAGAGAGAAACATCCATGATGAGAGAGAATCATGGATCGGCTGCCTCCTGCAAGTCCCCCACTGGGGATCAAGCCCACAACCTGAGCATGTGCCCTTGACAGGAATCGAACCTGGGACCTTTCAGTTCGCAGGCCAATGCTCTATCCACTGAGCCAAACCAGCTAGGGCTCAGGTAGAATTTTTTGATAATAAGAGAAAGAGAAATCCTATACAGGGATGAGGGATGGAATGACTTTTTTTTGGCAATGATGGAAATGGGATGGCTGCAGGAAGATGGTGTTTACAAAGACAGGAATAGGAAATGTCTATCATTGGCCACACAAAACTGGCTAATCTCCCTTCTGAATAGTATTTGCCAGCTGAAACCCAAGGGGAAGAAAGGAAGTGAATGGTTACCAGGGAATTCATTCAGTTTAGATATTATATTATGTGCTTTATACACTGTTTAGTATAACTACACATTACCACTATTTTACAGATAAGTCTTTTGTAGTTTAGCAAGATTTAATAGAACTAAGGCAGACTAGTTAGTAATCAGGAGGTAAACCCAAGTCTGCTCAAAGTCCATGTTCTTTTCATTGTAAAGGGAATATCTCAATGTTCTAGGCTCATTACGCAATGGGAACCTGTAGGCTTATTGTGCAGTCAGCTGTTTTTTTCTGCAGCTATTAGCAGAGGTATGCAGAGACAGATAGGAGGCAGCGAGGTTAAGTGTCAGCTGAGCAATAGCTATTGAGACTACTTCTTGGTTAATCCCATAGCACAATTTTTCTTCTGACGTTTTCAAGGCAAAGAGGTGGGTATATACTGGTTCCAGGAAAAACTAGAGTTGGGCCTTTGGAGTGGGACACTTTGGATGGTGGAGCAAAAGGGCGGCAAATAGCACAGTATGGGCCTGCACCTCTTAGGGAATGTGAGGATGCAGGGTTGACTTTGCAAGATATTGTTTCTACAATAAGGGGCTTGACAGGGTAATGTAAAGAGAGGAGCTAATTAAGTCAAAATTCCTGAGGACCAAAAGAGAACTGGATTTGGTCCCATTTAACGTATGCAGGGAAGGAGAATGAGAATAACAGGTGAATTTCCTGATGGCAACAGGCAAACAAGAAGCAGAGAGGGGATAGTGCATCCTCCTGACATGGGCCCAGAGCAGACAAAGGTGGCCCCTGTGAGACATTGGGTGGGCTGCATAGGAGTTGTGTTTTTTAAAATATGTTTTAATTGATTTTAGAGAGGAGAGGGAGAGAAACATCAGTGATGAGAATCATTGATTGGCTGCCTCCTGCATGCCCCCTCCTGGGGATTGAACCCACAACCTGGGCATGTGCCCTTGACTAGAATCGAACCCAGGACCCTTCAGTCCGCAGGCTGACACTCTATCCACTGAGCCAAACCAGCTAGGGCCATAGGAGTTTTTTGAAGGGCCAACTATGAAAGGCATGGACGAAGGTGGAGACATCCGTTTTGGCTTCAGCAGTACCTGAACACAAGGTGAGGATTGAGGGATTCTTTTAGTCCCATGTATTGCTAGAGTCCATGAATTACCAGAATCATTTTGATGTTTAATCAACTCTACAGTTGTTTTGTGTGCATGTTTGCCCAGTTAAATCCTAAACTATTTGAGAACCAAAGCTATGTTGTTGTTGTAGGCCTATGCATCCTCAGGACCTATGCCTATGGGATCTGTCCCTCTTCCAGAGTCTCCTACTTCAATACCTGTTGCCAGAAACACATCCCTCTCCTCACACAACCAGTCACTCTCCAAGTAGACTATAACTCCTAAATATCTCTGGAATCCATCTTCCTTTTTCCAAGCTATCATCACCTCTGGGTTAAAATTATGGATGTAATTGGCTGGCTGGCTAGCTGGCTGCTAGACTATATCACTAGAGCATTAATCGTGTCCAACTTGTTTCTTGCTGTATTCCAAATGTTAGGCACACAGTTGCTGCTCAATAAATTTTGATTGAATGAACTCAAATGTTAAGTGAATTCATTTGTTTATAATAACCAGTGAATGGGATGTTGCATCCTAGGAGGCAAGGTGGGGCCAAGAAATAGGATGTCTGGGTCCTGTGCTACAGTCTTTATCCACAGGTTTCTCTTTCCTTGCTCTCCATAGATCTAAGACCGAAAATTACTCCATGAGGTTCTTCCTCTCACCAGCTTTTTGGAGTAATCTGTCATTTCCCATATGGCCACTAGGTGGCTGTAACTGCCTACAAAGTCAGGGAGGGGACTGGAGGAGGGAAAACACTTTCAAATTCTAGAGGTTAGGATTAAAGATGGCCCTTTTGAAATTTATAGGTGGGAGGGAAGGATCTGAAAAAAAGGAAAAACTACCAGGCCATTATTCAATTAGTATTAGGTTTATTCCTGTTTTTCGTTTTTCCTGCAAGCACATACCAGGAAAGGAATGTACAGTAGTTTGAGAAATAAAATTCAGCCCCGACCTGTGTTCTCAGTGGTTAGAGCCTTGCACTGGAGAGGTGCAGATTCCATTCTTGGTCAAGGGCATATACCTGGTTGCAGATTTGATCCGATGGTCAGGACATGCAGAAAGCAACCAACAGACGTTTCTCTCCCCTGATCCCACCTCCCCCTTC